CTAGTACTGGGCACTGATGGCTCATACCTGTAATACTCAGGAGGCAGCCATCAGGAGGACTGCGGTTAGAAGTCAGTTCAGGTAAATAGTTCTCAAGACCCTGTGTTGAAAATACCCAATACAAAAAAGGGCTCAAGTGGTAGAGCAACTGCCTAGCAAAAAAAAAATTCTGTGAATGTAGTCCTTTTAATGCTTTCCAGAAATCTTCTTTAGGAATTTTCCTCCTTATATCTGACTTCCCCCACCACCACCCCCATTCTGGTAGTACTATGGTTTGAACTGAGGACCTCCACCACTTGAGCCACACCCTTAACTCTTTTTGCTTTAGCTATTTTTCAGGTAGGTCTCACATTTTTGACCAGGGCCAGTCTTGGACTGCTATCCTCCTACCTGTACCACCATGGTGACTTGTTGGTTGAGATGGGCTTTTTGTCTGGGCTGTCTTAAACCACAATCCTCCCAACCTCTGCCTCTCCAGTAGCAATACAGGCATGAGCCACCATGAATAGCTTAAATGACTTATCTTTTAAATTATAAGCTGCAATAGAAAGCAGCCTAAGGCTTTGGCCTTAAATCATAACTCTGTTTTTTTTTTTAATCTGATAGTTACTTTTCCAAGCCTTGATTTCTCATCATTTGCAAATAGAGACATGACCTATCTTACTGATAAAATAATAATTGATAAAACACAAGCATATAACACAGAAAAATTATTCAAAAATTGTTCATTTCTTTTCCTTCTCTTTCACTTAAGCCCATGTTCCCTATGAACAGGAGGATCCTTAAGTTGGAATGGAAGTCAAAAATAATAAGAACTATGATAATCAATTACTCTATCAGTATTCACAGAGGTGAAAAAGAAAGAAATATGTTTGAAGCTAATACACTGAATCCCTGTTCATGGAGAACTACTGTATAATCTAAATGCTAAACAATATTTGCTCATAACAGATGTTTGAGAAAACTACTAACCTAGTAGTTTCAGAATGGTGATATTTGAGAAAGACAGAAAAGTACAACCCAATACCACTTCTAAAGTAAGTCAAAGAATCTTATATTTATTTAAAATGTTAAGCCAATAACTACATAGTAAACACATAAGAATTACTTAAAATTTTAAATGTAGAAATAGCATTAAACGTAGTATAGAATTTATACTACAAAAGTTAAAAGGAGGTTCATCTGAGTACTATAACAAAAATAAACTGCTCTCAACAAGGTGCCAATGGCTCACAACAGTAATACTAACTACTTGGGAGGCTGAGATCAGGAGGATCACAGTTTGAGGCCAGCATGGGTAAACAGTTCATAAGACCCTCGTCTCCAAAATAATCAGAGCAAAATGGACTGGAGGTGTGGTTCAAGTGGCAGAGGGCCTGCTTTGCAAGCACAAATCTGAGTTTAAACTCCAGTCAACCAAAAAAAAAAAAAGTAAAATAAAATAAACTGTTCTCTCCTTCGTCCTACCTGTTGTGATCAATAAAGTGAGTTCTTTGATGGAGTGAAAGAGGTTTGATGGGGTACTGACGGACCTGACAGGTTTTGGGTTGAATTCTGGGAGTCACATATGCTTGAAGTGTGCCATACTGGCCTTCAATTGAGCGAATCTGATGCAGCATAAAGGAGAAAAGGAAATAATAATTAGCAGCGTAAGTATTTTTTCAAAGAGCAACACAAGTTATCAAGTACTTATATCTTAATTTCTTTTTACTATTTTGAAGGTTATAATGGCACTGTATTAAATACTTTCTGACACTAGAGTAAAGGAATACTAAAAATTATTTTCACTGTCAATAGCAAAATTAATCAATCTCTAAGTTATCCCTACCACATATTTTCAGTGGATTTGTGTATACTTAATAATCCTAGGCCATATGAAGACAAGACACATATTCTCAAGTACTATCCTGTCATTTCTAAAAAGATAGGTGCATAATATGTTTTATAAGATTCACAAGAAAATGGCTAAATCTAAACATAAATGAATTTTCAAAATAACTAAAACTCATATGAAGACTTCATTTCCTTAGGAAATGGGATTATACCATAGAAGTGTTGTTACAAAAATCTATTGACAGAAAGAAATGTTTCCAAGAACTTAATTCTTAACTTTCTATAAAAATACAGAAGCACATCATAACTAATTATGGCATAGGTAGACTGGAAATTTTTTCCAGGTTATTTTGAATATGGCTGATTTGATATTCTAAGAATTCAAAATACTAACAGAAAATGATTTATTAAACTGTGAAGACCTAAATTAAGAGGAACATAAAGCTGTCCAGCTTCTCTCTCTGTTCCAATTCATGAGGCAGACTGTAACACTTGGTGAACTACAAAGATAAACCTCTTTTATCTAACCCATATTTTACCTTATACCTTTTATGGCATGTGAGAAAAATAAATGTTTTATGATGTCTTACAAATAGAGAAAGAGGAAAGATAAGAGGATTAAAAAGCTAATGAATAAAAATAAAGGAGCAGAACAGTCCTAATAAATCTGTATTTTGGGTTTATTTTTAAAAAGTAGGCTTGCACTGGAAGCAGAATTTTTCCACAGTAAAAAGCGCTTCAGTGCTCACCTTGGCAGCATACATACTAAAACTGGAATGATACAGAGAAGATTAGCATGGCCCTGCACAAGGATGACACACAAGTTTCTGTGCAAATTCATGAACTGTTCCATATCGGAAAAAAAAAAAAAAAAGAGAGAGAGAGAGAGCACTTCCAAAACAAATACTAAAATTTTATATAAAAAAAAAAAAGCATTTTTGACCAGGTATGGTGGCTCAAGCCTATGATCTTAACTACTTGGGAGGCGGAGATCAGGAGGATCACAGTTCAAGGTTAGCCCCAATCAAAAGTTTCAGTGACCCCATGTCAATATATGACTAAGTTAGATGGTATATACCTGGCATCTCAGCTACCTCCCTGCCTATGCATAAAGCAAGACCCTACCTCAAAACAACCAATGCAGAAGGGGCTGGCAGAGTGGTTCAAGTGGTAGAGCATCTGCCTAGGGCCCAAGCCAATGCCAAAAAAGAAAAAAGCATTTTTAATCATGAATATAATAATTCACATTTATTATTTTACAATTCCAATAAAGCAAAATTGGTATAAGCATACAAGCCCCCTGAAATCCTACTACCCTGAGATGATTATGATTACTATTTTGGTAGTTATCCTTTTATATGTCTATGTATATATAAGTACAAAAACCAGACACTACATAATTCATAGGAAAGAACTCTGTTTATATCATAGACTTTTTTTTTTTAGTGAGACCAGGGTTTGAACTCAAAGGAGTTTTGTGCTTGAGCCACACTTCCAGTCCATTTTTGTTCTGGTTATTTTTGGAGATGGAGTCTCTCAAACTATTTCCCTGGGCTGGCCTTGAATCTCAATCCTCCAATCTCAGCCTCTCAAGTAGTTAGGATTATGGCATAATCCATTGGGGCCCAGCTATATCATGGACATCTTGCTTTTATTTCTAACACTCAATTTTCCCCCCTTATCTCTGCCTCTTCTATTACCATTATCTCCCTCCTCTACCCAACCACTCATGTCTCTCTCATATTGTATAAACTGCTATACACCCCACAGGTATGTTTCTTTTTATATCTTTCTTCATATCATTATAAACATACACACAAACACACATGGATTTATCTGCATTTTTCTGCTTTTCTGGAATTCCCTCCATGCTAACATATATTGGTATGGCTTGAAGATGAAATATCTCCCACATGATCATGTATTGGGGACCTGGTGACCAACTGAGGATTCTGGGGAAGTGAGTGGATTCTGAGAGCACTGATTTAATCAATGAATTAATCCTTTGATGGATTCATAATTTGATGGCATTACTGTTAGATCATGGAAACTTTTGGTGGGGGACCTAGTTGGAGGAAGTAGGTCAGTAGGGACAGTTTTTGGAGGCTGTATTCTGTCCTGTTGGTTGCTCTGCTTCCTACTATGGGGTGAGCTGCTCTGCTCTGCCACAACCTTCCCACCATGTGATGGACTGAAACCTCTGAAATTATGAGCCAAAATATTTCCTTTCTCCCCTTAAACTGTTTCTCTCAGGTACTTGGTTACAGCAACAACAACAAAAAAGTGACTGACACAAGTATATTGTAATATTGCATGGTAGGGATAGTTATTTATTTAACCATTCAATCACTAATGAGTAGTCTCTTGGTTCCACTTTACTGCCTCTACAAGCAATGTTCCAATTAATTATATGTACATCTGTGTGTTTATTACTGTGACTTAATTGCTATTAAACAGATACTCCTAAATGGCACTGTTACTTGTTTTTCAAAATGACTAAGAATTTTTTCACCAACTTTGATTGGCAATGTCCTCTTACCCATCCTGTTACCTATGATGCTGTTCCTAAATATTTTTGCCAGACTGTTAGATAAGCAGAAATTGGTTATTTTAATTTAATGTCTCTAATAATGAAAAAATTTTTGTTAGTTGTTTTGATTTCCTCTTCTATGAACTGCCTATCTGTATTCCTTATTTCAATGGTCTTCGTTATTAACGATTCACAGCTTATCTTTATATTTTATTGTTAATTACCTATTATCTGGAAGATAGTTAACTGTTCTTCGTTTTAAATAACTAGGTACTTAATTTATCTGACTTTATTATATTTGTCATAAAAACTCAGTAGGGGCTGGGAGTAGCTCAGTAGTAAAGCATGCATGAGGTACTTGTTTAGCATGCATGAGGTCCTGGGTTTGATCTCCATCATGAAAGAAAAAGGGAAAGGAAAATAGAGGGGAAGAGAGGACAGAGGGGAAAAAAAGGGAAAGGAAAGTGAAGAAAGAAAAGAATTCACTTAATTTTCTTCCAAAGGAAGGCCAGTGGTGCCAACACCATTTTTTAAACAGAAGTAGCAACTGAATAAAAAATGTTCCCTAAGTAGGTATGGCATGCATTAAGTTCTCATAAATGTGTGCTCTATTTCTAGACACTATTCTGTTGCACACTGTATTTACTCAGGCTTGGAAATACCCTCCATTATTTTTATTATGGTGGTGTCAGTATATTTTATCATACAGCAACATAAGTCCACCTTACACTTCTCCTTTTTCATAGTTTTCTTGGTTCATCCAGAAATTTCTTTTGTCCCTCTGAACTTTAAAATTATTGCATTTAATTAAAGAAAAGAGAACATTGGCTTTTTTGTTTGTTTTTTTTTAAAGAAGAAAATTAGGCCTACCCCTCCCAAACCAGAACAGGAGGTAGATCCCAGAGCTGATCTCTGGGACACAGGGCAGCATTCAAAACTGAATTGCTGTACCTTGCTGGGGGAGGAGCTGACCAAACAGAGCTGCAGCTGAAGGGCAACGCAGCTACTGCCTGGTGAAAACAATAGCTCTGACCACCCTACACAAGCTGGCAGTATTACCTTACCCCACAATTCCAACTAATCTTGGAGACAAAAGGAATCAAATACTACTCACAAACCATTCACCTGGTGAGACCAGATCAGAGCTTCAGCTTGTACACCAATACCAGGATTGGATATATAAGGAGTAACTGCAGAACTTTTACCAAAGATTGAACTTTCTGTGCTTCCTGACCCTGGTGTTTTTAAAATTTTATTTTTTATTCTTCCTGTATTATTAACATCACCATCACTATTTTATCCCTATTCTTACCCTCTATACTTTCCCTCCTTCACCGATCTTCTGCCCAATTACTCTTTCTACCTCTCCTCATCCACTTTTTCCCCCAGCTTCACCTCCCCCACCTATCCTTCCCCAATCTCTTGCCATACTACCCTTCCCTACCACACACTCACCACCCTCTGACAAGCCTACTGTACCAACTGTACACAACTCCAGTCCCCTGCAATCCCTGACACAATCGCCCTCCACTACAGCAGAGATACACTCACACACGCACACACACACAAGGGCCACAAAACCCAGCAGCCCCCATATCTCTTCCCCCTTTTTAATGCCACCTTTACCAGTTCTCCAAAATCTATAATTAACCTAATGACCATCACCTGACCCAACTCCCACTGTTTACAGATATTATCATCAAGGGGTATTCTGTATAATATGTAAACAATGGCTCTGGCATTGACCCTGTGATTTTGTTATTGCTAAATTACACCATTAAGTCAGGGACAGAAAGAGCACATCAACCTAACTAACAACCAAGTCACTCACAACACAAAAATTAAATCAGGGAAAGAAACCAGGCAATCAAAACCACCAACTAGCCTATCAAAACCATAGTTGCACAACACCAAGGGGAGCAATGGCAAGAAGGAGGGATGGAAACCACTCCCCTCAAAAAAGCAAATCAATACAGGATTCAGTGGGAAAAGAAGAAAACAGATACCCAGTTCCTGACCTCAATAAAACAAAGATAAATGTCACTAAGGATTCCTGTGATACCCACAAAAAAACCCTCAATGAAGCAATTTTGGAAGATATCACTGAAAAATAAATGGAGAAGATACCAGACATGGTTAACCATGATGTACAAGATGCACTCAAGAAATTTCAAGACACCAAAAATAAAGAACATGAGAACACACAGAAAGAAATAAATGAACTCAGAGAGGACTTCAACAAAC